AACAAAAAGATCCACAACTAGAAGATGCAGATGGAAGAGTTTAGACTTTAAAAAAAAAAAAGGTAGAAATTAAAGGATTTTAAACCAGAGAAAAGAGTGAACCATTAGCGTTCAAAGAAAGAAGTCTCACATCGTTGCTGTGACTTTCATTCTGCTCATCTCATAAATCTGTCTAAGCCTATGTGACCAGAAGGATGACCTCCATTTAGGGAACCCTGGCCTGGGATCCAAGATGTTGCATATTTGTTCCAGAAGTTGCCCTCTGACTTTTTGTACAATCCTTGGAAATTACCTTAACCTTTATTTGTGACCTGATCTCCTCTGTACAGGGAGATAATATTACTTGCCTTAATACAATGGCTTTTTAAAAAAATCTACGTGATTCCCAGGGGAAATTGTGTTTTAGTCTAGAGGGGAAAATGATACTTTGCCCCTTCTGCGATGTTTAGATAATTATCTGAGGTAAACACTGTAATTAAGTTTATTTTTGTGTGTGTTCAGTACTATTCAGTTGAACAAAATGTAATTATCCCAAGAATGTTTTACCTTTAACTTGTTTTCATCTTGCAACATTATATGTCAAGTCTCACAAGAAAAACTGCCTTTGGAAAAGGAAATCTGAAATTATAGACAAATTTAGCCATCCCTTTTGTGTACAGTCTGGCGTACCTGAAACCCTTCTCTCCTCTGGGTACCTATGATGCAACACGCTGGTCTTCCTGGCTATTGACATCCAGTACCATGAGCAGTTTGTGCTTCATTAGTTTATTTCTAAGTCAAAAAGCCTTGGACTCCAAATTCTACCACCTCAGTTCTGATCTTGCCAGCAAATGTTTCCCGTGCATTCTATCTGCCTGCTGCTGTCCTGAGTGGAGTGCATGATTATCTTGCCTTTCCCCTATATCAGGTCACCCTTTGTCTTGGTTATTCATCCCAGAACAGCCCTTTTCTCTTACCCAGGATTTTCAGTCAATTGGGAATTCTTGTCATTAGGTCTAAAATCTTTCTCCTCCTCATCCTCCCATCACTGTCCTACTTCAGTCCCTTATCATCTCTTATTTAAGCTATTGCCAATTATTTGTTCAACAAGTAATTATTAAGGGTATGCTATAGACTAGCCGCTGTTCTAGAAACTTGGATACAGTTAAAAAGAAAACAATATAAAAAGTTCCTACCACTGAAGAGTTTTTATATTAGCAAGGGGAGGCAGAGATAGATAACAGAAATAATAAATGGATAAATTATATAGTAAATCTAAAAAATAGTAATTACCATAGCAAAAAAAATACAAAAAAAAAGTAAAGCAGTGGTGTTGAGCAGAATTGAGGTATTGAGGTGGGTAAGCTGCACTTTGCCATTTTAAATGGGGTGATTAGATTAAACCCTTTAAAGAAGACAACATCTGCACAAAGACAAGCCATGTAGTTACTGAAGGAAGTATTTCTGGTGGAGGGAAAAGACACTGACATGGACACATGGCTGGCATGTTCAAGAAGCAACCAGAAGGTCAGTGCAATAGAGTGGAAGAAGCTGGGAGCATGGCTAGAGCCCACTGTACACACATGAGCTTTTTCTGAGTGGGATGAGGAGTCTTGCTAGGCTTTGAGCATAGGATGATGGGATATGATATATGTTCTGAAAGGATCAGCTTGGCTAAGAACAGACTTAGGGAAGTCAGCATAGAAATGGTAGACCAGGTAGTAGGCAGATGACAGGGCAGATGACAGATGTCACTCCTGACTGAAATCCTTGGGAGTCCCCTTCACCTACAGTCCCTTCATTTCTACCAGAGACCTTGGGGATCTGGCCAGCCTATATTCTCCAACTTCTTTTCCTGCTGCTCTGCCTTATGTAAATTCCAAACTGCCTCCAGGGCCTGCATTCACCATGCTGGGTCATGAGCTGGGTCTTCAGTGATGCTGCTTCATGTTTTCTTACTTTGCTACGGAAAGCCCCTCCTCTCCTTTGGCTCATTGATGGGAATTCAAGTTCCAGTTCAATTTCACATCATCGCTTCCAGAGGGTGAGCCAAGTGGCTATGTGTGCACACCCCCTCATAACTACCATCACATCATACTGACATGTGTCTATAACCAAACAGAAGCTCCTCTCTCCTTCCCCGTGAGTACTTAGTACATGACCAGACATATAAAGTTAAGAAGGGTCTCCTCAACTGCTCTAATGTAGTCAGAGGCTGGATTTGCAGAAATCTAAACTAAGCTACCTTCTTCCCCAGTCCATCGGTCACCTACTGTCTCAGGAGAAAGCATTATCTTTCAACACCAAAACCCAAGAGGGCAGATGCAGGGAGGACCTCTGGGACCAAGTGACTTTCTGTCTGTCTTGCTTCAGGTTCTCTCTGCTTTACTTCAGGTAACCTGGGTGCCAAGCACTCTCCCCAAGCTGTCCGGGCTACCACACCCTGGACATTTTACAGTATTTCTTTATTGAAAATAAGAAAACGGAAGCACACATCCCTGTTGGCAGCACTGGTAAGTGCCCGTGCAGGGTAGCATGGTGTCTGAAAGCACAGTGACCTCTCCCCTCGCAGATACAGGCCCGGTTACCTTTGTGGACAAAGTCTTAGGGAGCAGAGGGGGCCATTTGGTGTGCTTTCTATTCACAGAAAATCAGGAATAGAAGAAAGAGAGGTTTTGGACACTAAGCTAAATGGAATAGAGCAGATGTAGGAAGCATCAAACTGGGCCTTTCGGGAAGAAAACTGAAAGGAGAACCCAAACAAGACATTCCCTACTCAGTGAAATAAAGACGGTGCTGCCCTGCACTGTCTGTGCAGCTCTCACGACGGGGGTTCTGGGACGGCAGCCAGGTGCCAGGCCCTGGGCAGCTGAACGGTGCCAGGATCATTTGCTGAAAGACAATGGTGCTCCAGCCGGCTCTCCAGAGGCCCCGCAAATGTGCTTGGAGAGCAGAGTCTCAGCACAGCTACGCGGGAGCAGCTTGGCAACCTCACGTTCTTCCTTCTTCGGAAGGATAAAAAGGAGGGGGGAGGTGTTGGCAAAGACAGTGGATTTGGGGCTTTAAAAAAATCCCAAATGCCTCGTGATTCTCTAAGTCTTTGGTAAATTACCTTCTATTAGCTTTGTTAAGCCTCAGCAGCCTGGAATTGTCTCCTCAAAACTCAGGCATCTGTTCCCCTCCTGTCCAAAACTCTGACCACACACAACTCAAAGAACTTTAATTTCATCAAAAGATGATTCTTTCCTATCCAAAAAAAAAAAAAAAAATGGAGGGGGGCAGTGGAAACATAAAAGGGGGACATGAATGAGGAGGACAGTTTCTGAGGGAGCCCCAGGAGAAGGTGGCTATTTCTGAAACAGAAGGCTGACCAAGTGCCTTGTTATTTTCTCTGTGACAAGACTCAGGACAATGAGCATGTTAGCCCACATGGTGTTGGACGATCAATCAATTAATGTGTATTAAGCTGCCTTTAAATGGAGGGGGCTGAGCTGGGCACTGTGAAAGAAAAAAGACTTTTCATAAGAGTCCTTGCCCTCACAGGAGACAGGAGGAAAGATTTATATCACAACTTAAGAGAAACATCAGCACAAGAAGTATTGCAGCTGCGTCACATATGTGTGGTCAGGACTAGAAGGGCTGTATTCCCTGGGAAGAGGGTGTGAGGGCTGCGAGCTGAAAAGTTTCAAGGAAGGGAAAGGGAATTTGAAGAGATGTAAAAGGCCAACAGAAGCAACAAGCTCGTCTTCCTACTGAAACAGAAAGCCTTTCCATAGTCTACAACTTGATAACAGGTATCTATTGCCTCACAAATTGACCTTTTTTACCTTGGGGATTTTTTTTTTTTCTAGAAGATTCTCTTCAACATAAAGCTTAGATCTAGATTTCTTTCATTTTTTTTTTTTTCCTTCCAGACAAAGAGAGTTCTGTGCAACCTTTCTTCAAGCTTGAAAACAAGCACTAGCAGCCCCAGGTCCTCTCCTCTCTGGACCAACCATCCTCACTCTTCCCCCACAAAGTAAGAAGCCAGCCATACTTTGGTCAAACTCTCATCAGTGAATGCTTCCACCCAAAGGCAGTGTCCAGCCCTGAAAGGGCACTCCAGATGTGTTCAGGTCAAAGACCCTGCAACCACAATTGATCTGTATGACCCATTCGTTTATACAGCCGAATGCCACTATAGGTTTCAGCAGTAAGTTGCATTGTAAGTAGCAAACTTGGGATAAACAAACAAACAAACAAAAAATACCTTTTGTCTTTCCCACCTAAATTGCTGCTAAGCCAGGTGTTCTCCCCTTGAACTGAATGTCAAGAATGAACAATTTGAAGAAGAGTGAAGGCGTCCTGGGTGAGGGGAGAAAATAGGATGTTTGAGGATCACTGCACAGTGACCAGATATCAAAATTGACTTTGATGTTCCAATAATTCAAAGTTTTATATCAGCATGGATATTAAGCCAAGCAGAACAGAGAAACAGAGCCATGGAAATTAAGTATATGCTAAAGACTTCCTTTCAAACAAGAGGGGCAAGTATGGATTGTTTAATACACCTGAAACTCATATGTTACAAGCAAATATCAGTTCAATAAAAAAGTTTAAACAAATATGTGGTGTTAGAAAATTTGACTATTTGTTTGAAATGATGATTCAAGGCATTTTTTATTTAACTCTATACACCCAAATATATAATTTTCAAATATATCAAATTATCTACTTATTATAATGCATATAAATATGCATTTAAAAAGACAGCTTTTCTGGTAATGTAAATAATCTTCCTAAGAAATAGCCTAAAAGCCCAAAAATGTTATTTAAAATGTTCTCCGTTCTCTATCGTAAAATACATTTGTTTTTCTAAGCGTTCAAGGACCCGGTCTTCTTGGTATTCACCAAAAGGTTAATGGGTGTTTGACTTGTGAGAGAGTTATGCCTCAAAAAGAGAGAATGGTTTTCTTAGGACAAAACAAAACAAAAACAGGTAGTAATCTGGAAAGTATTTTTAACACATAAAATATGATTTTTACTAAAACTTTCCAGATTGCAAGTTTGTTGCTGTGGATAGCAGAAGATAGCTGGTTGGTGCGCTCAACACACAACAGAAATCAAACATGGAACACCAGTGTTTGATGCATGGAAAGAAATTAATATCTGGAAGGCATAAACCAGGATGCTGGAAGTCAATCCTTAAATCCTCCACCTCAATCAAAGGCTACGGACTTTTTATAGAAAGGGTTACATGTAGAAAAGCAAGGAAGCTATGGAGTCATTTGGGGTGAGGGTTGGTACCAGTTTCTGTTTGGAGGGCAGAGGGAAGGGAATCAGTGCTTGGTATTCACTGTGGGTTTACAGACATGTAGGAACCATGAATAAGGACTAAGAGCCCGGGGTTTCGTCATCTATGTGAAGGCAGCTGTAATGGCTTGCTGGTTCCAGAAGAATAAATTAGTCCTTATCTCAGAGCTCAGCATTCTTTGGTCTGCAAACAGAGAGGTAAGTTAATGTATATCCAGAGGACTGATAGTGGTCTGAGGCTTAGCTGAGTTGTATAGATTATTCCCGTGTGTGCTGGATTAGTGTTATTTGGACTTAGCTTCATTTCTATGCTACTAAGATTTCCAAATTCATAAATGTACCCAGCAATCCCACTCTTGGGCATCTATCAAAAGAATATGAAACCATCAACATAAAACCCCATATTTTTCACAATGTTCATATCAGCATTAGTTACAGTGGGATATGGAAGCCGCATAAATGTCTATTGATAGACGATTGCATCAAGAAGAGGTAGTATATCCATACCATAGAGTATTATATCGCCATAAGAATAGATGAAATGGGCCTCCCCTGGTGGCACAGTGGTTGAGTGCCGGGCTACGAAGCTGCCCACAGCCTGTGCAGCGCCGGTTTGATCTCCGGCCACCGGTGCAACAGACCTCTCCTGCCATGCCCGCTGCTCCCCTCAGCAGTGTATTTCGGTAGTCTGCCTGTTCTGTTTCCCTCTTTGGCTCTGGTGAATTCTCTCACTCTCCTGCGCTTCTGACTGTACCCAGTGCTTGTATAAATGAATAAATAAATCTTAAAAAAAAAAAGAATGGATGAAATGCAGCCATTTTCAACAAAATAGAGGGAATTTGAGAGAACTATGTGTAGCAAAGTAAGTCAGAATGATGAAAACAAATACTGGACATTTATATTGCAGACTCTCTGATATGTAAAACAATTTCAAAAAGCAGGGGACATTAAACACCCTGAGGGTTTTGAGGTTAAGAGGAAAGGGGCAGGGATACAAGGGATGCTGGTGGGGAAATAAAACATTTCCACAAATATGTAAATATAAATATATGATGTGTGTATTTACATATTTCACATATATAAATACATACACATATTTTATTACATATATTGCAGAAAAGCACCAGAGACCTCCAAGGCCCCTGTGTCATATCACATTTCCATGAAACACCCACTTTCTCTAACCCCTATCCAAATTTTTCTTGCAGAGAAGGTGCCACGTGACTCAGTGTAGTTGATACACTTGAGAGAAATCTTGGAAGTAGAGAAATGACCTAGACACAAACATGGGGAGACCGTTTTACTGAGCAGTGGGAGAGAGGATTCCAGGCATGTGGAAGGATTGTGGAAAATGATTGAATGAACTAGTAAATGAATGGTCAGCCCTTTAAGGACTTCTGTGCTTTGGGCTTTGATATAAGTGGATAGGAATCCATTCCAGGTCTTGAGAAAAATCTGCCATCACAGACACAATCCTATGGGGATGTGACAAATGAAGATTTGCATCCATTTATTGTCTAGGTCACTTGTCTTTAATTCAAGCTCTCACCTGTAACATTATGGTCTGTGCAAGCTGTCACTCACCAAGGGGGCACTCAGAAGACTCTTATTGAAAATGACCCTAATTTCAAATACAGAGACAATTCCTCATTACACACTGAACAAGAAGAAATCATAACATATAATCATATAAATAACAATTCTGTCCCTAGTGTCTTATTATAGCCCTGCCCCTGGGATAAAGGCTTAACTACTCGCCTGGCATACTTTGGTTGCTCTTAGGTAAAAGAAAGCTCTTCAGTCACTGTAAGACACAAAGTATAATCCAATAATTTAACATATCTAGCCCCAGGTAATAAACTTCAGATTTGAAATAATTATTAAACCTTGTCTCTCCAGTTGGGACCTTCTATGAGCTACCATGACCTACTGTGAGCTGGAGCGGGTCATGAGGAATGGGATGTCCTTCGCTCCTCTGCTCTCCCCCAACACATACTCACTCAACACACACACATACCCAGTTACTAGCTTGCCAACCAAGATCCAGGTAGGGGAAAAGCCTAGAAGGAAAGCGGGCCTAAAAAGTTCCTCTTTATACAGGTATTGACAGCTCACCCTCTCCATATTTGTAGATATTTAAGCTGCCTCTTTGGTTCTTAAGCCATGTTATGGCTTTGTGCCTCTGACTGCAATTCCTATAATGCTCCATAGGCCAGTCCCTCCTTGCTCAGCTCTTGATTTTTACTGGTCTAGACTGCACAGAATCTTGCTGTTGGTCTCTTCCTCCATTCTCATGTCACATCTCTCCCTGGATTGTGGATGGCTCCAGGGTGACTTCTCCCCCAGGACCTCATGCCCAGGCTCACAGTAAACACACATGTTCCACCCAGGCAGACTGGAGATTCAGGGTAATCCCACGGCAGCAACTTTTCTTCACAAAGGGCCTGACAGTTCACTCACACAACTTTTTTATTCTTAAAACCTTTTTAAAATTCAGGGAGCAGTTGGGCCTCCCTGGTGGCGCAACAGGTTAAGATGCAACCTACGAAGAAATGTGCAACCACTGGAGCACGAGCTCGATCCCTGGCCAGGGAGTCCACATGGCACAGCAAACCTCTCCGGACTCACCTGCTGCTCCCCTCAGCAGTGTATTTCAGTCAATCTGCCTGTTCTGTTCCCCACTCTGTCTCTGGTGAATCCTCTCACCGCCCCCTCCCCCCACACCCTGGCCTGTACCCCAGCTCTTGTATGTATAAATAATTTTTTAAAAAAAAATTCAGGAAACAGCAGTTTATAACACTGTATAGATTTCAGGAGCAAGCTTCACACCTCTACAAAAGTAGGTATCACACCACACTCACCACCAAAGGTCTAGTTTTCATCTTCCACTTTCCAATGGACCCTCTTCCCCTTCCTCCCACTTCTATCTCCTTACCTTCTGGTGACCACCATTCTGTTGTCAGAATCTAACGGTTTTGCTTTTTTTTTTTTTAATCATTTTTACTGAAGTAACAATGCATGATGTTATGTGTCATTATCAGTCAATGCCTGTATATACTACATTAAAATCCAATTTTATCTTTCACTATACAATTGACTCCTTTGTCCAATTTATTCATCCCTCTTTCCCTTTCCTTTCTGGTAAACACTAATTTAGTCTTACAGTCTAAAAGTTTACTTTTGTATTTGGTTCTTTGTATTAAGGTTTATTTTTCTTTGGTATTGTTTCTCCATGTTCCACATATGAGTGAAATCATACAGCACATACTCTTGACTTCCAGATTTCCTAGGCAGAGTTGGACATCCACCCAGTTTGCCCTCCAGCCATGGAGAACACTTTTCAGACTCTCAAAACAATTCTAGTAAAGTGATTCTGTCTCCCTTAGACAGGACTCATAGCTATAAATTACTCTCTTCAAACAATCCCTCCTCAAATATTCTTTCCAATCCATCTCTCAACTTTTTTTATACTCCTCCTGATCTGTGGGAAAAGCCCTTTGGGTGAGAAGCCTAAGACTTGTTAAACCAGTTTTCAGGTATTTCCTTTAAAAAAGTGATGCTTGTCTGTCTGACACAAACTTTGGTATTGAATACTTTCCTTAGCATTTCAACGCACTATTTCAATGTATCATATTTTTATACTACTTGATCAAATGTTACTTTTCATCACAGATTGAAGGTTCTGATTCTATGGCTAATTGGAAACCCCATGGAAACACTGGCCTAGTAATCTTACTATGAAGGTACACAAAGTCACAAAACATGGATTTTCAAAAGATTCATCTATGTAACTTTTTTCCTGTGGTAGTCGGTCTCCAAAATGGCCCCCAATGACCCTGCCTCCTGGTGTTCACACTGTGTGTGGTGCCACGGTAACCACATGGGATCAGAGTTGGTCTGTGAGACCAAAAGAACACAGGGGAGTGACGGGAAGATACTTCCAAGATGAGGATATAAACACTTCCGCTTCTGCCTGACTTGTTCTCTTTCTCATGGACTTTCCTTCTCCAGGAAGCCGTGTGTGCGCAGCCCACAATGGAAGGAACTGAAGCCTCTTGCTGTCTCTCTGCAGGAGAGAACTTGAAGTGGCTTCTTCAACTCCAGCTAAGCCTTCAAAGACGACAGCCCCAGCTGACAGCCTGAGTGCGAATTAGTGAGAGACCCTGAACTAGAACCAGTCTGTTAAAAATCTTGACCCTCAGAAACTAGGAAATACAATGTTTGTCATTCTGAACTACTGGGTTTGGGAATAATTTACTATGTGTTAATACATAAGTAATATGTTGTCCAAACAGTTGAATTAATGGATTTTTACATTTGTAAAATATTTTCACACAGATTATTACCTTTATCAAGGTAATAGCGAATCCCTCTTTCTAAAGTTTATCATAAAAATAAAAGGCATATTAGAGAATTCTTCATTTTGTAAAAATATTTACTATAGGATTGTTTTTAATAAAACAAGCTGACTAACTAGGCATCATTAAAATATGACTTAATCTATAAAAGCACCTTCCAGAAATTTTTTCTAAAATATTTGTGTTGTGTAAATAAAATGTATCTATAAAACCATAGCTTAGAGATCCAAGCAGAACTCGAAGAAATGAACTGAATTATCATATTTATTATTTTTAAAGAGTTTATTTATTTAATTTTGCCTAGAAGAACTGGGGTGCAGGCCAGAGGTGAGGGGGGATGAAAGGATTCACCAGAGACAGAGTGGGGAACAGAACAGGCAGGTTGACTGAAATACTCTGCTGAGGGGAGCAGTGGGCAAGACGGCAGAGGTCTGCTGCTCCATGTGGGTCAGCTCCTTGGCAGGGATAGAATCAAGCCACAGTGGTGAGAGTGCTGAGACTTAATCCCTAGGCCACCAGGGAGGGAGACCCAAGAATTATATTTCCTTGGGAAGCTTTGCATCCTAACACTCTCACTCATATCACACACATTTACTGTTTAACATTCTCTAGAAAAGAAAGTGGCTATGAAGCGAGACTCTATGGGGATGAGAAGATGCATTTTGCCATATCTGCAGTCAGACAGTTCTTAATAGGTAAGTAAAACAACTCGCATTCAGAAATGTCTTCATTATTAGTGATCTGGTTACTTCTTGCTTTGCCCCCTTTAATTGTCAAGTATGTTTTTGGATGCTCCCAGACTCCTTTACGAATCTCATTATTGGCTTTTTGAATCTGGTTTTTGAATCTCCTAAAACTAAGCCACAGTCCTGATTTGAGGCTTTCTACACAGCTTATAGCTATAAGTAACATCTTTAATTTCCATCAATTAATAAGCTGTTCACCCACATCTATTTATCGGCCCCAGCTCCCTTTCTGGGTTTCAGGATCACATAGCTAACTCCCTACCGGAGTCCTGTTTCCTCCTCTCCCATATCCTATCAGCCATGGGGATCTGTCTCTTACATATCTGGTGACTCCTCCTCATTTCTACTCTCTGAATCACTGTTCCACAGCATCTTCTCACCTGGACCACTGCAACATTCTCTTAATGGTTGTTTCAGTTTAAGTATCTATCATTCCTGAATAATTAAGGCCCTGCTCAACAGCCAGAGTGACCTTTCTTAAGTATCTCCTTATACCATTCCTTTGCCTAAAATCTTTCAGTTTTCCCAGTGATTTGGGATAAAGTCCAATCTCTATACTTGATTTAAAAAGACTCCACCCACCTACATAGTTTCATTGCTCACCCTTTCCTGTTTATTATATGTGCTCAAGACCATACTGGATTTCTTTCAGTTCCACGAATTTGTTATACTCTTGCTTATTTCTGTGCCTCTGCGCATTCTGTTCCTTCTTCCAAGGACATTCTTCCATACCTCTGCCACTTATTTGCTCTTCTGGATCTCTATGAATTTTCTTCCTACAGGAAGTGTTTCCTGCCTGACTGCTATAGACTAGATCATACATTCCTCCTATGTGCTCTGTTTACTGGACACTTGAATGATCATGGAAATAACTAGTTTCCAGGAAATACCACCAGCTAAACTGATTCCCCTGGGGCAATATGGGAAACCTCCATATATATTACCAGGCAAGGTACACCAGATTCATGGAACTAAAAGGCTCATCACCAAATTATGATGGTATTATCACATGGTTTATGGAATCAATTTAAATGCTCAGTGAGAAGCAAGGGAAAAGAGTTGAACCAGTTAATAGACATATGATAAAATACAAAAGAAGTAGACCACACTACCTGAATCCTGGGCTATACAATATTAGAAAGTCCTCTCTCACCCTCCACCCCTCCCTTGTTTTTCTGCCACAGGAGCTTTTTCTGGTGGGGTTTGTGTACAAAAGACCAACAAGTAGAAAGTATCTGGGTCCAACCCACTCATTACATAAGACAGATACAGGAAAATCACACCTGGCCATTGATGGAACTTACCAATGACCTACTAAGCAGTCAGTCTGCATACTGTGGACAGTGGATAAATGGAACCAGAATGGATATGATCGATGATTGACCATTTTAAGACCTTATGTATATTCATTATCTAATGTGGCTATGCCTCTTGGATCTTCCATATAAGTTTAGCCCACACATACTTGACTTTATCTGTGTCTAACCTGTCTCACAAAAATGTATTCTTTCACATTT